CGGATATCTAACAATGACGAGTCAAAATACAGAAGGGAGATAGAGGATTTTGTGACGTGGTGCAATGAAAACAATCTGTCTCTCAGTGTCAGCAAAGCTAAAGAAATGATCTTCGACTTCAGAAAGAAAGGAGAAGAACACGCCCCCATCAAATCAACAGAACTGAGGTTGAGAGTGTGAAGAGCATCAAGTTCCTTGAAGTGACGATAACTCAGCGACCTGTCCTGGATTTCCCATGTAGATGCAACGGTCAAGAAGGCACAACAATGCCTCTTCTTCCTCAGGCGGCTCAGGAAATTTGGCATGTCCACAAGGTCCCTCACCAATTTTTATAGATGCAGTATTGAAAGCATACTGTCCAGGTGCATAACAGCCTGGCATGGCAGCTGCTCTGCCCAGGACTGTAAGAAACTACAGAAGGTGGTGTGCACAGCCCAGACCATCACGAAGCCAACTGTCCATCCATGGACTCTATTTTCACGGCTCGCTGCCGCAGAAAGGCAGCCAACGTCATCAAAGACCCATCGCACCCAGATAATGACCTCCTACAACCTCTTCCATCAGGCAGAAGATACAGACGCCTGAACGCATGCACGAGCATGTCCAGGAACAGCTTCTTTACAGCTGTTATCAGACTGATGAATGGACTCCAGCGTCAAATAATGTAGCCTGCAATGTAACCTGTATGCCTCTAAATCTTTTTGATCTGTACATCCTTTGCTTGCTATGATCTGCCTGTACTGCTCATAAACAAAGCTTTTCACTGTATTTCAGTACACATGACAATTAATAATTAACCAATAGGGTAAATGTGCTGCTAGATAATTATTTTGATGTCAGCTTATGGATCATAGAGACCTTGGTGGTATTTATTATCACTTTCATTTTGTCAAATAACTGCTGTAACAGCCTTACAAAAAAAAATCAGAAATATAGGGATCTCAATTTCCAAGAGGAAGAGGTCAGTTCTTCTGTTTAGCAGGAAAGGCGGCAGGACCTCTTGGTGGTACTGTGTAACTATCAAATGTCTAAAAGCTGGAATGCGCTGTGAATGCACTGAGGTTAGTAAAAATCTGGGTGTTATTGGTTGGTTAGTTGAAAAGTAACTCAGGAAAGCTGCACAGAATTTTCATGACCTGAGAAGGAGAGAGTTCATGGAAGTGTGTCTTATTGATTATAATTGTGTCATCGAGATGTACAAAATAGATGGAAACACAAGTGGTGAGAGTTCACAAAGGAATATAGACAGATTAAGTGAGTGAGCAAAAACTTGGCAGTTGGAATATATTTTGGGAAAATGTGAGATTATACACTTTACCGTGAAGAGCTAAGTTCATTTAAATAGGGAAAGACTGCAGAAAGCTGAAGCACAGAAAGACTTTGGAATCCTCATCTATGAATCATGGAAAGCTCCAATCAAATTCAGCAGGCAGTAGGAAAGGCAAATGAAATGTTGGCCTTTATCGCAAACAGTAATGGGGTATAAGAATAAGGAGCTCTTAATAAAACCATACAAGGCATTAGTCAGACTATAGCTGGAATTCTGTGAACAGTTTTGGTCCCTTATTTAAGGAAAGATATACTGAAATTGGATGCAGTTTAGAGAAGGTTCACTAGGTTGATTCCAGATGTGGAAAGACTATCTTATGAGGAGAGGTTATGTAGGTTGGGCTTGTACTCACTCGAGTTTAGAAGTACAAGAGGTGACCTTACTGAAACATACACAATTCTTAGGGGTCTTGACAGGGTATATGGGAGAGGTAGTTTCCCCTTGTGGAGGCATTTGGGATCAGAGGGCATAATCTCAGAATAAAGGGTCTTACATTTGAAACAGAGATGACGAGGATTTTTTTTTCTCTCGTAGGGTAGTGAATCTGGAATTCTTTAGCACAGGACTGTTGAGGCTGAATCATTAAGCATATATTGCACATTGGCTGTGGTAATTCATTCTTGGGATAGAAGTGTTGTTGGCTAGTCCTGCATTTATTGTCAATCCTTCATTAGCCTTGAGAAGGTGGCTATTCATGAACTGTTATATTTCATGTGATATCTTATTGGGAGATGTAAGTACCCTAAGTCTTGCTTTGGCTGTGCTAACTCTTCAGTCTGGATTGTCAAAGATAGGTGACACCAAAGTCAGAAATGTACACGCCAAGAACTTCTTGCTGTTGACCATCAGGCCAGTTTACTGTAATGAAAACAGAAATTGCTGGAGAACTTCAGCAGGTCTGATGGCATCTATGAGGAGAGTGTAGAGTTAATGTTTAGAGTCCAGTGAGTCATCTTCAGAATGCCAGTTTACTGGCAAGATCCCACTCCAAGTGGTGAAGCAGTAGGTAGCCAATAAAGCAAGTAAGCAGCCTGCTAAATCTGTATCCTAGACCAACTAGAAATTTCTAGTGGACTCCTATAATGACTAAAAACATGGACAGCAAGTGGAGGCAATCTTATGGCAGGAGGCTTGGGGTGGGGTGAGGGTGTGGGGGATCAGCAACCCTACTCACTTTTTAAGTCATGCCCCATGTTTGTGACTTCTAGACACCCACAGCAGTTTCTGGCCACACTGTAGAAGGGATCTCTCTCCACAGCAGGAGTCCAGCACTATGGATATATTTAACATTTTGAAATGAGCTGAGAGGGCACCTCTACCTTGAAGAGTCATCTTTTTGTCTCCCTTACATAAATCTCTAGGCAACTATATTATTGAAGGATGAAATTCACCAATTGATTAGTTTGAATTTGGATTTTGATGCTCAGTTGGCGTGTGGTTGATTGGTGAATGGTCCCTAGTTCATAACAGGCCTGTAATTGGTTGAAGATTGGCCCTTGGTTTGTCATTGGTTAATTAATGACCTGTATTGTTAGTCCCTGGATATTGCTGTTTTTTGACTGGCTTGTGACAGGCTTTTTCTCTTTTGCAGTTCAATGATGAAGCCAAACCTGTGGGCTGCTTCAAACATTTGGTTCAAGCCAACGTACGGAACAAGAAGGTCCTGAAAGATGCCGTGCAAGACATGAATGCCCAGGGAGTGACAGATTACAAATCAGGATTCAATTATGCCTTTGATCAGCTACTCAATGTAAGCACATTGGAATGTACCAACCATCCTGACAAGGATCAGCTCTTTCCTTTTTGAATTGATTTGATTACAGGACAAAAGTGATGTTCTCCTTTAATTGTTGACTCGTTAATGGTTGATTATATAATGTTAATTAGTATTTACCAGAACAAGCAGGCTTTGACTTCAACTCTGCAGCACTGCTTCACCCTCTGTATCTCCAACTTTATGCCCAGATATGACGTATTAATTTAGCTGCTTCACAATTCTAAATAAGTTCTCCTGTCATTACCGTAAGGTGAGAAGATGACAAAAAAGCACAGAGACAGAAATCTTGCTTTTTATTCTTTTATGCACCACTGGCAAGGCTAGAAATTTTTGCTGATCCCCAATTGCACTTGAACTGAGTGGCTTGCTTGGCTATTTTAGGAGGGCAGTTAAGAGTCATCAACGTTGCTGTAGGTCTGGAGTCACATGCAGGCCAATTCAGGTAAGGATGGCAGATTTCCCTTCCTGAAAGATAGTAGTGAACCAGAGGTTTTGTTTTACAACAATTGATGGTAATTGTCATGGTCACTAATGCTGAAACTAGCTTTATACTCCTAATTTACTAATTAATTTTAAATCTTACCAGCTACAATGGTGTCTCCTTGTTCATCAATGGCCTGTGATGATTAGCATTTAGTCATCTCAAAGCATTAGTCTGGGCCTCTGGATTACTCATCCAGTGACAAATTGAGAAGAGCAAAACTCTATTCAGTATCATCAAAAATGTTAGCAAAGGTGGGGATTAAAATTTGTCTCAATTGATGGCAGAAACCAGGACCTTGGCTTTGCAGTCCTTGATATTCAGTTCCTTGGCTTATTGGCTCGTTCAATACCACCTTTTCTGTGCCACGTCAAAGACAAATTTCAGCCACCTGATCATTTTAATAGAATTATCAGCGGACATATCCATTAGTTAAGTTCTGGTGTCCGCTCCTTTCATTTTCGAGGTGACAATCTAAGTCACAGTGAGCATGAGCAAATGCTGAGACAGAAGGATGCACGTCTCCTCCAAGGAGTACACTCCGTCCCAAATTGATTATCCAAATCTTAGCCATAAGAAATTGAACAGCTGGCCCAAAGCATCAAGATGCGCATAGTTTGCTTCTAATCAAATACCGCAAGACGGAGCAGAGATCGATGATGATATAGTAACATTTCAGATTGCAAGGCAGCAGAGAATAATTGATAAACTAATCAGAGTTGGAGGGAATAAAACCTCTCATCTCAAAGGATTGGCTGCACTTCTAAAAGCATGTTGTGAGGAGACATTAAAAGCATTATCAGCATAAAAAGAATTAAAAACAGGAATAGTGTGAAAACACAGCAGCTAATGTAATTCCTGAGTTCATAGAAAGAGATGGAAAAAAATCCAGATAATAATACTATTATGGACTGTCCCTCAATTCAAGGATTATGTGTACGCTGGCTTACATACCTCTACCCCGGGTTTAATGTGTTGAGAACAGGCTAATTTTCAAGCCACAGATCGTTAGGCACATCAATCAAGATGTCCTGCATGGTAATGGGATCCAGTCTATTTCAGCCTGACCTAGTACAGCAAGGGAGAATTGAATGAATACTTCAGTTGTTAGTTCTAAATACAGTTGGAACGGAGTCCTCCCAATATGGACGTAGAGATGATAAACTCTCATCCAGAAGATAATGGTAGATCTTTGGAACAGTTGCTATTGTGACAAAGAGATAATGAAGGAAGGTATTGTTAGATCAGAGTAACATGTGGATCAAGAAGAGGGTCATGGTTGAACCTTGGGACATGCTCCTGTTGTGCATAATGAGAAACCATTGGGACAGTTTGTGAACATTGGAGGAAATAGTCTCACATGGCATGAGATGGAATATGTGACTATTGGTTGTCTTATGATGAGTTGAATCAGGAGTCAGGCATGGTGAAGTTGGACAGAGAGGAAGTGTTAGAGACAGCGAAGTTCATCATTGATCATAGACTCCCTACAGTGTAGAAACAGGCCCTTCAGCCCAACCAGTCCACACCGACCCTCAGAGCAGCCCACCCAGACCCATCCCCATCCCCCTATAACTCACCTAATTTAAACATCCCTAAGCACTACAGGCAATTTAGCATGCCAATCCACCTAGCCTGCACATCTTTGGACTGTGGGAGGAAACCAGAGCACCCGGAGGAAACCCACATAGACACGGGGAGAATGTGCAAATTCCAAACAGACAGTTGCCCGAGTGTGGAATCAAACCTATGTCCCTGGCACTGTGAGGCAGCAGTGCTAACCACTGAGCTACCGTGCCGCCCTTTCATCACTTCAATCTGGAAAACAATCATTTGATGCTGGATGTGAAATGGAGAAGAATGGTAAGGTCAAAGGAAGTGGTTAAGAGTTGTAAGGTGGATATTTGTGCCTTCCTTCAAGATAATTCTAGTTTGATGGGATTTTTTTTTTCAACATGAAAAGCTGATGTGGTCAAATCAGATCTTGAGGTGATTGACCAAACAGGTCAATGTAAAGTGCTCTAATGCCTCAGAGGTCACTGAGGAATGCTGGGATAGACGATCTGGGGAATCTTATGGGGAATAGTATATGATTACCTTCTATTGATGTTCCTTGGTACTCGAACCATCCACCAATGGGAATAGAGGTATTTAAAAAGAAATTGGATAAACAGTTAGAGGGAAAAGATCTGAAGAGCAGCAAAGAAAGGTTGAGGTTTGTGTGGCTAACTAAGTGGCTCTTACAAAGAACCATGATGGACTTTAAGGCTGAATGTCCTGTGCTTTAACCACTCACAATGAGCACTGGATCAAGACAAAAGGCATGAAATGGTTTAGAGGGTGCTAATTTGTAACCTCCGAATTAAGGTGTGTTATTAGTTCTGTAGTTGAGGCAAGGAGCTAAATAAATGATGGAAATGTCATTATTAAATTATAAAAACTCAGAGCTAATATTTGCATGAGATCAAATGAGGAACAGGATAGTGGAGAAGTCAGAGGATAGAGACCGTAGAGAATTGGGTATAAGCTGGAATCACTCAGCTTTGTCACTGACTGTGGTTGATTTTGACTTTGGCTGATGCGCAGTCACACATTTTATTGAACAGAGTCAAGTCCCATTCCCCTCAGTGGGAGATCTGTGGGAGGTAAGATTATAGGATTGAGAACATGGGAGGAGAATTACTTTCTGCGCTGTATCATACTGTGATTTTGTAGGTGCTTAAACCTGCACCAAATCCCTGAGGAGTTTGAAGCCAGTACAGGATAGGTTCTAAAGATGACAACTATCTCAATACCACAGGATCTAAAGATTCAGCAATGGTGATTCATGTTTAAGGACACAGTGAAATAAAGGAGAGAGAGAGTCACAATTAGGGAACTAAACAAGTGAACTATGCAGTTGGAAAGCTTATTTCTTCTGTTCTCTGCCTGAAGGCAGCCCTGACCCATAGTACTGCGATCCCCTCCATAGTTCAGGTGAGGAAGCAGGACCCGTATCCACCCCAGATCTAACAGGGATCGAACTTCATGCTGCAGGCACCAATCTGATTCACACCTGCCATCCCATCAATTGAGGCAATTGGCCCCTCACAAGACTTCATCCAACAAATCTCAGTTCTGTCCCTGTATGTATATAAAAGGGCATTTTCACATAACATGTTTCCACAGTTAATCAAATTAATGACTGACTTGTTGATTGTAGGGGACAATGATGCACAGAACACAGCAGAACCCCTGGTCCTTCTTTGAATTGTATCACACAAGCTTTGAAGTGTACGTTAACATAATATAATGACTTAGTCAAAAGATGGTAATAATAATGTAGCACGTCTGCAGTACTGCACAGTGGTACTATCCTACATATTTACAGAAGTTCTGTAATGGGACTTGAACGCAGAAGCTCCTAACTCAGAGATGACATTTGCTGCCACCTGAGCCAAGCTCATTCACAGAATGATGTAGCACAGAAGGCAATTTGACTCAGCATGCCTGTGCCAGCTAGTGGAAGGAGCTATCCAATACTTCACTTCTGTTTCCCATAGTTCTGCAGAATTCTCCCTTTTGTAAATTATTATTGCAACTATTTTTATCGCCTTTTCATGCTCTGCGTACAATATCATAAAAGCTCACTGTGTAAAAATATTTCTTCTCATCTCTCCCCAGTTATTTTACCAATTATTTTAATTTATGTCCTCAGATTACCAGCCGTCCAGCTAGTGAGTTTTTCTTTTAATCCCCCTAGATTCTCAAGCTAAACCTTAGCTTTGTACCATAATTATAAAGTGCCTCCACAGTGTGATCATTGAACAGTGAATTTCATACATATATGAAAGTTTAGTGCACAACTTTCCTGAAAGTCACTAAATTAAATGTAATACAATTATCAGATAAAATACAGGATTAAAAGTAGATATTTGTAAAAAAGAAACTAGTAGTTTTGAAAATAAATTCAGTTGACATTGCTGGCCGGTTACTTGCTTGAGGATTTTTCTTTTCCAACTGATAGGTTTGAAAACTTGAAGTCAGAATTCAGCAGCTATGATGGCTTCTGTAGCTGATTAGTTGAAGTTTGCTTGCACAGGTAGTCTCAGTAAATAGGGCACACTTTTCAGAAGAGAAAATATTTCTTGTTCCTCATGAGTTCTGTGGTTGCAGATTGTCTAGCCCATTTCAGCAATATTGTGGTTGATTTCTCTCATTCTCCCTCATTCAAAATTCTCTACTCTTAAAATGTTGCCCCAGATCCTCCGGTGCGGTTCTGATTTAAAATGGACCCTTGCAGTATTTTATACAGATCAGACTTAAAATGGCTGCTATGTTAAATTTTGATGATTCATTATCCGACAAAGTAAAGACTGTTATGCTGGAATTCCCTTTGGAGTTTCTTTCAATCTGTTGCTGGTCTGAGGAGCTTTTTCAAAATTCCACACCTTTATTTAAAAAAAAGTGTGATATCTTCTACTACTACTATTGAATGTCACCTCTCCATTTA